CACATCCATACAGTTCTATTCTCATACATATAGCAGTATCCCATGTCTATACTTACCATAGTCACATCCATACAGTTCTATTCTCATACATATAGCAGTGTTCCATGTCTGTGGTATAACTCGAACATGCCTGGCTGTCACTGGATGACTCAGCCATTGTACTCTCACATTCTCCTTGTCACCATTGCCTAGTAATATCTGAAACAATGAATGTCTTTAGCACAGCATTGTGGAATATATTTGTGATAACCAATGCTGACAAGTAATTCTGACCATCGCAAAGTCAGTATCTTATCGAGGTAGCTTAAAAGCTACAGAAATGTATGGCGAAAACCTTTAATTAATTAATAAGTATTACTCCGAATTATTTCATATCAGTTTCTACCTCATTGCGGTTGCTACCAGCTTTGTAAGTGTTCCACAGATTGCCATCCATACTGTAACTGATAGTGTAGGTAGTAACCCACTTATCCATGGTGTGGTCACCCTGTGTTGCTATACCTGTCACTGTCACCACTTGTCCCAGGTTAATCTGTATGTACTGAGTGTTAGATAACGTGCTGCTACACCATGAGCTGCTGCCATAGAGACGACCATGTGATGCAGTATGGTTGTTGTCAAGATGAAAAGATGAATTCATCTGGCTGTTTTGAATGATGCTTGGTACTTCAAGTCCTACAGGTGAACTGCAAGCTGCGATGTAAGTTTTAGCTATTATTATCATTGTGTCCAGGTTCTTGGTGTCTAAAATGTGTGAATGATGGATACTTACCAGATGATATCCCATACACTTCCATTCTCATACTTGGCCAAGCTTGAAATCTCACGGGATAAAATCGTACAAACTTAGCCTTCACTGGATGAAGGCTGTTTGTGACAACTTGGTCTTTATTTACGTTGCCAGTAAATGTCTAATTGTAAAGACAAAAATATTCACCCACTTGGCGAGAAGCTTATTAGGTATTTAATAGTCTTTCTAAGTGATCATGTATAGAAAACGATGTTCAAATTTACATTAACTAGGGACAATAAAAAATGTAAATAACAAAATAGAAATATATAAATAAAATTAAGTTCAATTTTTAAAAAAAAATATCCAGGGAAACTCAACTTGAATTAATTTGTTACGCATTTACCTTATCAATATTATTTTCCCGGTAATAATTCCAATTCACATTATCCAAGGACACTCGCAACTTGTATCTTCTTACAAACTCGTCTCTCAGATCAGCACCGGCGCCTTGTGTAGCCACAGAACACACAAACACCACAGAACCGAGGTCTGTCTGTAACCATGCACCAGACGTTGTTCGTGGTCCCCAGGCTTTACTGGATGTTGATAGTCTTGCAAAGTGTGGCTTATAACGGTCATCATAATATGAACTGGCAGTAAACCTGTGATCTGGTATAATACTAGAGTATGACAAACCAACGAACATGGATGTGCAGCCTGTTAAGATAAGGTTGACACTAAAATTTAAACTCTTCATTTCTTTTAATTTGTTTAACTGGCTCATTCTTTTTATTATATTGACCTCGAGGATATCTCAGACAACGATGGTTGTTGAATCATATATATCAATAACACATGTAATATATTACTTTTTCTTCACTAAAAACTATTTTGGTTCTTTTTGTTTTTTGCACAGATTTTTTCAAGAAAATCAAAAGTAGAATCTACTATATGATTCTCGTTTTTCTTTTGTAACGACTCATATGCTGATGGTTTTGCACACGGGGCACGCGACATACGTTCTCAGGAGATATTTTTGCAATTGCAAAGTCAATACACAATAATGAAATAGTTGAAGCAGACAAATAAGGCAAATTTTCTTCTTGCGTACTAAAATATAATAATTATATTATTACCTCCATCGTGTTTTATTCCATAGAGTTCTGTTCTCATGCAGCTTGTACTCCCATAATGACTTGTGGATGCAACACGTATGTACTGACTAACAGTACCATCATACAAAAGATTCTTGACTGCAGTATTAGAGTCGAAGTCACCAGTAAATGACTATAAAGAAAAGACAAAAACTTAGTGCTTTCAATTGGAGAAATAAGATTTAATGAGAACTAGGGACTGCAAAACTCCGAAGCTATTACATACGCGCACGATGCCTTTGAAAATAGTCTATTATACATTATGAAAAAAAATCTTCTATATCTAGTTTTGATGTGTTCATAATTATATTAAATATTAGGATATAAAATCTAATATGTAGGATATAATACATATTAATATACAAAAGATACATCAATGTATTTTTTTTTCTATGAGAAAGTATTAGCATGTTTACCTTCACTTGGCTTTTTTCCATGTATTTAGTAAAAGTAGACCCATCATTTGATGTAAGCATGTTGTAAGACTGTACCCACTGATCTGTCATGTGGTCACCCTGTGTTGCTATACCACAAATGATGTAAGGCGATCCTAAGTTAATCTGTAGATATGGAAAAGAGTCACTCGTAGCAGCACACCATGATGACCCTGCTTTGTAGTATAGTCTTGCTTTGGATGGTGACGTGGTGCTATTGTAAGCTGATGATGACGTCATATTTCTGTCTGGTATCTTATCACTCCTTATACCAACTGGTAAAAAGCTGCAATCTGAGAACGAATTATCAAAAACCATTAGAGTTTTATGATAGAAATAATAAACATTGAAGATTTTTTTTTCGTATCAAAATGTCTAGCAAGTGACTGTAATATATTTTCCTTGCAAGGATCATAAATAGCAAAAAAAAATCAGTATAATTGAACAATTTTTGCCGGAATTTTTTTT